CCCCAAACCCTAGCTGCCAGAACCCTCACCGGAGAAGATGACCCAGGAACCGGAGGAACCAGCCGCCGCACTGGAGGACTTTTTGGTCGCCAAACGAGGTAAAATTTCTCCTCTTAGCTCGTTTTTCGATGCCGAACCTCCCTGTGGCTAAATCAGAGCCAAACCACCAGCAGATTGGCCAAAAAATACCGTCGAAGTCCAGTGGCGCCGCCGCGGGTTTTCTCGATTTTTGCCTCCGATGAGGCACTTCCTGTTTCCCGTTCGATGTAATTTTTATACCACTGTGACCACCGTCCTTTTCTCTACAGGTTGACTGGAACAAAACACCGAATCGCAACTCACGCCGGAGGAGCCGCTGTATTCGAGAGCTTCGCCGCTGGTAAGTCTCGATTTTCTAGAATTTTTTGGCCCACCGAGGGCTCTATGGGTGTTTTATCACAGGAACCAATGCAAGTTTGGCCGAATTCGGCCAAAAATAGCCAACCCGAGGCGGATCGCCGCCATGGGCGGCGGCGCCATCGCTGGAGCACGGCGGAGCCGCCATGCCAGAATTCTGAAATTGGCCGGAAGGGCCCTAGGTCTGATTTGGAGTTTTTTGGGGACATGTGCAGGTACCGGAAGTGTGTTTCAGTTTCTGAAGAAAAATTCAGGAAATCTAAGGACTGCTCATAGGCGTAGTGAGAACCCGATTTCAGACTTCGAAACAAGTAACGATCTCTCACCCTATTTCCTATCACGGCATTAAATCCTAATAAATGATAAAATGGTATTTCATGAATTAATAGATATGTATAATTGATTAAGGTTGCTAATGGAGCCCGAATCTGATGTATTTGTCGGTCTGTTTCTGTTTGATGTATTTTGCAGTTTTGAATGCAGTATGGTGCCTGATATGTTTATTCTATAGTTTTATATGCATGAATCATAGTTTCATTTATTATGCTTTGAATTATTGTGAACTCGATGTTGTGTTGCCTTGTTTGGTGTCCATTACTGGTTTACGTATTTGTGTTTGATTGGATAATTAAGATTAAGAAAAATGGTAAAAATGTATGTGAATTGACAATGGATAATGTCAACAGTCTTACTAGATATCCTGAGAGATGGTGGACGGATTAGGTCCATAAGGAACCCTACCGGGAACGTGGTCTCTCATATCGGATGGGGTATGAAGACTTGATATGTTTTGGTGTCCATACCGGACGGAGTATGGGGACAGCCCGTTTCACCCTCATACCGGATGGGGTATTGAGGTTTATGGTTTTGGCGCCCATACCAGACGGAATATGGGGACAGCCTTGGAATTAAGTTATTAATGTGAATGGTTCGAATGTAGCGAGGGCCCCCTATGGATTTCCATGGATACTAGTAGGCTGATAAAAAAAGGGAGGTAATTGTTGCCTAATGATTGAAATACAAAAGCATGATATGTGTTATGTTGCAGAGTGTTGGTGATCTTATGATATTTATGATGTAATTATTTTCATAAATTATTTTCATGAATCTCACCGAGGTAGGTAGACAGTAAAGGGTTTTATTATTGATAAATGAGTTTGTTATAAATTATGCTCCATTGGTCGTTTTTGTTTTCTACCAACCTTTACTTCTGTGACAGTGAGATAGTGTGATGTCTTTACTGGGCTAGTGCAGCTCATTCCTTACTTAACCATTTCATATCAGGAAGACTTAGTTCCCGAGCCCGTTCTGCAGGAAAACGGCGAGCAGAAGCAACAGAATTCATTAGTTTTTCTTACAGCATTCATTCATAGTATTTCCTTTAAGTTAGTTTATTCTTTCATACTTTAATCCGTTTTGGTTATTGTGTAAGGGATGTTAATCATAATCTATTTTATTTCGCTTCCGCACTTATAATAAATATATATACATTTTCTTTTTAATTTCTGGAGCCGTTACAACTTGTAAGTTCTTAAATATCATTTACGAAGATAAGAATCAGAATAGTAATCTACACTACGCATTCTAAAAGACCGAAAACAATGAACCTTTATCATTCAACTGGCCTACCAGTGTCGTTGGGAGTCCATAGGGGTCCCCACTGCACGTGGACCAAATATTCATTATATTAATCAAATGGACGTCCTCATACTCCCTCCGATAATGGGCACCAAATATACAATCGCCTTAACATCTCGTCCGGTATGAGCATAATCAAACAATTCACAATCTCTTTCGATATGTGACTTCTTAACTCTGTTCAACTAAGGGTAACGACCACGATAGGGTTTACCTTATGCACCAAGTCCGCACACTCTTTCCTAAGGCACCTAGTAAACCCTGTTTATTTGACACAATAGACTCATACATATACTTTTCATTATCTACTATTTAGCCCTAAGGGGCATTTACATCTATATCATAATCATATGGATGCACATTTCAAGATAGGTACATGAATTAATAATGTATTATATCGATAGAAAAATGTTACATACACAATAGAGTGACCGACAACATAAATTGAGAAAACTTACCACGTTAGCCATAGATTTAATATAACACCCAGCTAGCCCAATGTTTTTTTGGCCCAATCCAAAGGACCCAAGCCCATAGGCCAGCCCCACTCTTCTCACCTATAACACAGCAAAAAGGGGCAGGGGGTGTTGTAAGGTCTTTGTAGGTTTAGGAGTTAACTGGGTGGACAGTGAGGATTGGATTGGTAGGATGAAGGGCTGAGATTGGATGGGAAGGAAGATATATAAATAGGAGTGGGCTGAG